TTCCAAAGTGAATTTTGGAGCTTCCCAGATAATTTTTTCAAGGTGAAAAAAATTCAGAGCGGTCTGGAGGGGTGAAATTGGGTCTGGGGTCTCTCTCACCCCCAAAAACCCCCAAAATCTCCCCAAAATTCCCTCCCCAGGGCCTGGAGATCGTGAACCCGCAGGCGGCCGAGAAAAAAGTGGCCGAGGCCAATCAGAAATATTTCTCCAGCATGGCCGAGTTCCTCAAGGTCAAGGGCGAAAAAAGTGGGGTCCCCACGCCCCCCTGAGACCCCCAAAACCCTCCCCAAATTCCTGGGAAATTCCCAGACCCCTCCCCAAATTCCTGGAAAATTCCCAGGAAATTCCCAAACTCCCACTCCTTTTTTTTTTCGTTCAGGTTTTCGGTTTTGGGGAATTTTTTTGGGGGGTCCTGGAGGTCGAGGGGGGTGAAATTGGGGTCCCCACGCCCCCCTGAGCCCCCCAAAACCCTCCCCAAATTCCCGGGAAATCCCCAGACCCCTCCCCAAATTCCTGGGAAGTTCCCAAAATCCCCCCCATTCTCGCCCTCCTTTTTTTTCCTTCACGTTTTGGGTTTTGAGGAATTTTTGGGGGAAATTTTGGGAGGTTGAGGGGGGTGAAATTGGGGTCCCTGAGCCCCTCGGGACCCCCAAAAAAATCTTCCTGGGACCCCCAAACCCCTCCCCAAATTCCTGGGAAATTCCCAAACTCCCCCTCCTATTTTTTCCTTCACGTTTTGAATTTTGGGAATTTTTTGGGAAAGTTTTGGGGGGTCCTGGAGGTCGAGGGGATGAAATTGGGGTCCCTGAGCCCCTCTGGGACCTCCAAAACCCCTCCGGGTCCCCCAAATTCCCGGGATTCTCCCTCAGCGTCTTTTTCCTGAATTTTTTTAATAAATATTGGAATTTGTGGTTGCAGCGTTTTGATTGAATTTTGAGGGAGTTGGGATGGGAGCGGGGGAGTCCTGGATTTTGGGGAGATTTGGGGGATTTGGGGTTTTTTTTTGGTGGGATTTTGGGTTTTTTTGTGGAATTTTGGGGGTTCCGATCCCGTCCCCGCCCACACCGCTGTGGCTCCGCCCCTTCGGCCAATCCCGTCCTCCTATTGGCCGCTTCGACTTTGATTGACACTTCAGCCCGTTGGTCACGGCCCCCGCGTGCGGCCGGCGGTTATTGGCTGCCCCGCGCGAGGAATCAGCCAATAGGAGACGAGCCCCGCGCGTTGCCCCGCCCCTCACC